GGTAGAACTTGTAGAACTGGGTATTATCACTCTACAGACTGTTTCATGCTAATGCAATCTTCAGGAGTGAGAGAATACAAGGATTGTGCGAGTATATGAATGCTAAGACAGGTGAAAATGCAAATGTGTTTATTGTTTTTAAGTAGGTATTTGTTGCTGTGCCTGCATTTAGACAATAGCTCGGTTCTTTTGTTTAGTGTTGACTGTTTGTCTGAATATATTATGTGAAGTTTCTCGGTTATGCACAGGTTGCAGCGTTTTGTTTTTGGGGAGTAAGCCGATGCTCTGTCGATGATAGACCATTTAATGTTGTAGGTTGTGTTGCTATCTTTTAATTTCCATACGTATTTGGAGAGTATGGTGCTGTTTCTGTGTTTGGGGGTGTTAAAAGTGTATTTGTGGTTTGTGTATCAGGTTTTGAACGGTGTGTCAGTGAGCCCAATGTAGCATTTTTTGTCATCATTTGAGTAGACAGTGGCTTTGTAGATGATGGGTGTACAGTATGTATTATGTACTGTATGAAATGTGTGTATTTGTGCATAGTTGTGGTGTGTGTGTATGTACGGTATATTAGCCTGTGTTTCTGAGGTGTATTTGTGAGTATAGTGCGTTAGGCCTACCTCCATGCCTGACAGGTAGTGTAGGAAGAGGCACATATCTCGTAATGAGGTAGACATAATAATCCACTTCTAGGTCCACTTTCTAAATAATAAATTCTAATCAACTTAATTAGGAACTTGGCTACTTTATGTGAATTTATTTTGTAAAGTTTGAATTTAGGCTTTGTAACTGTCAGTAGCACAATTTTTAGTTTGTGGTGGGCCATTACTACGGTACATTTTGTGACAATAATATTAGAGGATTACCCCCTGGAAAAACCGGAATTACCTCCGCTGCCGGCTCACAGGACTCGTGTGCTAAGCTGATGGCAGTTGCCTAATTTCAAGTCGACTTTGTGAATCCTTCGATTGCCAAGACCAGTGGTCTTTCTGCTAAGCTCCACCCCCTGGATATTGTTGCTGAGGTCCCATAAAACGACGCGTGCGTTTGTGAGACGCGTGCGTATTTCTGGTCCTGTTGTGATTGGTCAGTTGTTAAGTTTGATTGACAGCCTGGAAATTTCCATTGGATGTGTAGCACTGCGCACGTAATTATCCGATGCCGAAACAACAACAAAAAAATGCAGATCTTTTATTTCGGGATATTTAAGACAGTGAAGTAATGTCGATCGCATACCAGCAAAACACGCAAGTTGCTTAGATTCCACAGCTATCAATTGTGATCGACGACACACTATAAACATTTTGAAGATAGAAAGACTACTGGCCGGTAACATAATGGAAAATCGACGCCACTAATGTGACTGAAGTGAAATTAATGTGCTGGAATGAACTCTTTAATATCTGTTAGACCCACGTTCTTGTGATTAGACTTGTACAGTTTGTTGTTAATAAACAGATTTACTGGTCATATGGCATTCTCATCGTTCAAAATCCGTTAGCGCCTGCTAGTTATTAATTAATGTCGTGTGTAAATATCACCTGTATACTACACCGATACAGTGGGTGACGTATTTTGAGGTGGTTATTGGACGAACGACAAATCTTCACAATATAACACTACATGACCGAAGTAACACCGCTTATAGTAACTTTTTGGTAAGTTTTCTGTTTCATTGTTTTCCTTTTTACGGCGTCAATATAGATGGCAGTGGTGGATTCAAGAATTTGAAATAAAGGGGGCCAGGAATAGGACTTTGACAGATGGAATATCTGTGCACCTCAGCCCTACCATGGGTGGGGTAAGAAAATTTACGATTATGGTACCTCTAGATGGTCGGAAATGGCACTCTCAGACTTACAATTTGAATGTGATTTTTCCCCCTTGGATCCGCCACTAAATATTAACAATAATATGTTTACAGTAATTTTTACGGCATCATTTTCCCTGACGGACCACTATTTTGTTGCCCCGGTTAAGGAATTCTTTTTAACTCTATTAAGTAACAATTTTTTTTAAGGAATTACATTTTCACCCACCCCTAAGAGCTTCTACAATAGATAAATAAACAACAGCATCTCTATTAAAACGAAACTACAAAATATATAGGTCTACATAAAAACCTTAAATGTATAAATATTACATTAAACATTGAAGAAATACTCCGCAACTCCTTATTTAAGGACACGCCTATAGATACCCAGTGCCTGTACAGTACAATAAGTGCTATTTCTTCATCTGATAATTTTTCCCCCTTAATTCCCTCAACTGCTTTTTAACATCATATAATGTCGTTAACAAGCATAAAGCTCTGTCCAGACTATCAAATTTTATTTGACGAAAACATGTGACATGCCTAAATATGGTCATGATGACATCACATGATGACCATATAGAGGCAGATCATGACTATATATGGGCATACAACATTTTTTTTTTGTCAAAGAAAATTTGATGTCTGGATGGAGCTTCAAGAGTTTTCAAATGCCTCACATCAGTCGATATCAAGCAATATCAATAGGCCTATCAATCGATGCTCTTTTCGTATCCAATATTTTTACTTGCATTATTTTCTTATTTATCCAACCGTTCTTTAATGAATACCGGTGATATTAATTTTCGTTATTCTTGTTGTTAGGATACATTAACTCAAAGCGCTGCATATTTCGTATGACCTTTACCAATCACAAACGAAAATTGTATTTGATGATTGTTTATATTAATGAGATTATGAATAAGAAAGAAGTTGTTATAGTGATAATCAGTCCATCCAATAAGTTTATATCTAAACTTATTCCTCCATGATCAGTCGGAATGCAAATTGCAAGTTTCATCTTTGATATGCAGAGATAACAATAAAGGAACAGTATATGCACGTCCATGAGATATTACTTCGTGGCAAATTCGAATCTGAATCGTATCAGCATTCTGTACTTTCATGTGCGAGAACGGAACAGCACTAGTCCTTGACGCACTCGTCAATACATTATAATAAACGCCTTCATCTCGAACCGACAGGACAGGATCTCTGAAGGTATACCTTGAAATTATAGTAACAAATAAACAAATTAAAAACAAAACTTCAATGTATCACATTTATTTGTATCTTGACAGAATTTAGAATGTTGTTTACCGTTCACCATCGATAAGGAAAAGTGTTGTCACATTCGGAGATATGGCAGGCAGTCGCTTAATGATTGACCTCATGAGAGAAAGTGACAACGCACGGTACATGGACACACACTTTGATGTTAACAACATGAACAGCACACAACCGATTAATGGCAGTGTTTGCTACCCGCTAACCGAGGACTTCGCTCCCCGGATGCTATACCTAAAACTTGAGGAAGTCATCACTGCAGTAGTGCTACCCATAATATTGGTACTTGGTCTGTCGACAAACATGTCATTCTTATACGTCGTCGGTAAAGTACGCTCAATGCACACGGTAACCAACGCGTACCTCGTCAATCTAGCCGTTGGTGATATGCTGTTTCTTATCGTCGTCATTTCCGACAAATTGTGGAGTTTTTACACTTCGGAACTGTACTCGGATCACTCCACGAGGTCTACATTCAGCTGCACCGCCCTCAATATTATAAGTTTTACAACTTTGTTCACTTGTGAGTTTCTGCTAACGGCAGTCGCTGCTGAACGCTACTACGCGATCTGCCACCCGTACAGGTCAGCCCGACTAGATCGTCGTCATCTTAGTCGTAATATCATCGCCTCTCTATGGATAATCTCAGCCTGCCTTGGCCTAACAATGACACCAGCCTTTTGTAAATTAACGTCATATTGTATAATATGGCCCGATGATGAGAAGTACGATTATCTGCCAACCGAATGGGCCGCTTGCAGTTACGTACACATCATAGCTCGTATCTATGGTGACATGTTACGCGCAATACCATTTTTCGTTGTCCTTATTGTGAATGTTGTTTTATATTCGCTAATCATTAAAGAGCTAACAAACAAGGGTAAAAATGAATGTGAGACGCAAGCAAAAACGAGCCGTATAATTCGTAACCAAGTTGCCATGATGCTCATCGTCAACACAGCCGTGTTCTTCGCCCTTATGTCGCCGTTCAACGTAATGTCGGTGATAATGATGTTTGATAGTCTTCGAACGAAGCGCCTCCTTACTCCAGAGGGCCGCAGAATATGCATTCTATTCACTCGCCTCTTGAGTTACTGTAATTCAGTTGTGAACCCGTTAATCTACAAAGCCATGAACGCACGTTATCGGAAAGCGTTCGTTATTGCATTTGGCTGCTCGAAGGAAAATCATGAAGCCGCAGATGTGACAGAAAAAACGAACACGAGTACAGCATTCACGTCATAAACACGCCTATAATACATATCTTTAATTATAAATCCCACAATTAATTAAGGACAAGGGCTCGATGAGGAGATATTCGTGCGAAATAAGTTTTTATGTATTAACAGTACAATTTATCTTCTTAAAAGCGAAGGTTGAAATACGTTTCGAGTAATCGTCGATAGACTTATTTATCAAAGTGACTAATAGGCCTACCATGATCCAAATATTTCAATGACAATACTATTGTTTTTATGTTTTTGTATAGCAGCTCTGACTGTATGTGTGACAGTAATGATTTATATTACAAAATTTGTATAGACCTAATATATAATATGAACTCATATGTAATATAGGGTATGTATTTACGTGTGTATTGACGTGTATTTGTGGTTATGTAGTTCTATGTTTATGCCTAGGCATTTTGTTGATTATAGAAACGTGAAATATCACATTATTATTGATACAACTTGCTTGTTTTATTGTACAAATAATTAATATCTAAGATGTTTTCACCATAGTTTGACAAATGTTTTTGTATGTAAGTCAAAGAAATCAAAGTATTCAAGAGGAATTTAATGTAAAATTAAAAAACTAAAATCTCAAACAATAGACAAGTTCACAATTATATTGACCTTTGTAATGGAATTTTCCGCTAAGCCCCGCCCATTGGATATTGTTGCTAAGGTCCCACAAACAGCGTAATTTAATGTAAGTAAGCACGTGCGTTTATTGGACAACACGTATGTTTGTAGGACACGCGCGTATACCTAGTCGCATTCTGATTGGTCAGTTGTAAAGTTTGATTGACACTCCTGAAAGGTCCACTGTTAGGCCTATTATGCATAATGTCCTTTCCGCTAAACCCCGCCCCTTGGATATTGTTGCTAAGGTTCCACAAAACACGACAAATTAATCGTACGCAAACACGTGCGTTTGTGGGACAGCACGTGTGTTTGTGAGACATGCGCGTATTATTGACCTTGTTTTTGATTGGTGGGTTCTTAGGTTTGATTGACAAATCCTGAAAGGTCCAAATTGAAAGTTATTATTTCTGTCAGTGTTACCGATATGGAGTCTAGCGCCGCCTAGAGTTTTCAACGATATCAATCTCGGATTGGGTTTATGAAAAATAGGCTCCCCGACAGGAGCATGCTTATATTGTATAACTAGGCCAAAAATTACTCTTATCGGACAGGGTGCTACCAGCCATTGGTCATCTGTCAACACACTGTACTTGGCGTGCCTGTTAAAAGAAATGAACTGAAGTGAACCTTAACACATTTCAATTTACCCCGGGGGACTCACGGGGGTATTTTTGAGGATTGAAAGCACAAGTGTGGAAATTTATCAAAGAGTTTCAGCATGTATAGGGTAGGCCTATATATTTGCGAGAACTTGGTAGCACAAGTGTGGAGAAATACCTAGGTAAAATTGGTAGTTAAAGTCTCTGCTCCGTTCCGTATCAAAGTAGCATAATTTTTTGTACACGATTTTAGCGAAGATTTTTTGCTAACCTCTGTGCTAAACCTACCGTTGATACACAGCCATGAACAGTGGGATCGCGAACAGACAGAACCGCGGTCTTATTCGCCATCGGGAACCAGTACAAGTTAAATTTGGTAGGTTACATGGCCGTAATAGTAGTTCAACCGACACTGGATTTCGGTAGATGGTAGTTCAAGTCCATAATAATTTTCAGTAAAATAGGTAGCGCAAGTTTCTCATGTCTTGGAGTGGCTGCTACACCACCCCCCCCCCCCACAAGGTTGCCCCCCCCCCTCACAAGGTTGCTATACAAGTGACTTCCCCGGGCAATTTACACAGGAATTTCACTTCCACACAGCATCAAAAATTTGATAAATTGGCAGTGTGTAATGTTAGGTGCTTTTGAATTAATACTGAAATTCAAGTAGTAATGTGAGTGGATGTTGAATGCTTAATATGATGTATTCATTGTCTTGTATAGTGTAAACATTAATAAACGATTGCCATGTAGGAGTAGGCCTACTTTCTCCGTGTACTCAGCAAACAATACATTAAACATATACCTAATTACGATATTGTCAACAAACTAAAGAAATGGTACGAAATCAAAGAGGTCTGGAAATTACGAACAGAAACATAACACGCACAATAATTGCATCACTGCAGTTCGCGTCAATCCCCAAATTGCCGCGACCGGCATCTCATTTCTTAAATACATGTTTTGGTAATTGACTAGTTTTTTTCCTTCTTTGATGGTAAACACTTCTTTTAAAGAATGGAGAATGAAAATGATGGAGAAGAAACTTAATGGCTGTGTGAGTAATTAAACACCAATTTAATGCATTTTAAGTAGAAGACGTTAAATTTTATTATTTCAGCTAATGTAGTGAAGGCGCAGGCGTTACTTTAGGAAGTACCATTGACAAGATCCGTGAATTCGATTATAATCAGTACGGATTAACTTTTTTTAAATACATAAGCGATTTCTAATTTGTTATTGACCAAGTATCGAAAATGTAGGGCAAAGGCCAGGCCACAATAATTGAAGAGTGATACAATACAACATATCTTTCCCACACATGAAAATGCTATTTAGAATCGCTTACTGCTTTGATGCTCTCGGCAAAGACAAAAATCGGTTTCGATTTACTTTAAATCAACCAATAGCATTAACCTCATAACTCAGGTTATTCTACGAATTTGTATCGTTGCAATACTAATAACCCAAACAAACTTTTATACTACTACTACTGCTGCTGCTGCTGCTGCTTCTACTACTACTTCTACTACTGCTGCTACTGCTGCTACAGCTGTTGCTACTTCTAATACTGCTACTATTGCTGCTACTTCTGCTATACTACTGCTACTACTGCTACTACTACTACTACTAATACTGCTGCTACTACTACTACTAATACTGCTGCTACTAGTACTGCTGCTGCTACTAGTACTACTGCTACTACTGCTAATTACTCTACTACAACTGACACTGGGTATAAAGTATATATAATAAGGCATAAAAATAATGTCACCAAGCACAGTGGTATTAAAAAATTTACGTCGGTCGGAGTGCGAAAATCATTTTTATTTAGTTGGTAAATAACTATAGGCCCAGACCATTCCTTGGTTCATTTTGATTGGTAGAGTGAGTGGGTGAATGGGTTGTGTGCTATAGATTAGTGTTTAGGTGGATGGAAGGATGGATGGATATCAATGAATTGATGGATGGCAAAAAAAAAAAAATGGACGAGCGAACGAACATTTTAAACGAATGAACAAAGAACGAACGAAAGAGGAACGAGGGACGGAAGAACGAATCAGCGGACAGTAACGAGTAAGGACACCTTTTCGGTGCATGCTTTATCCAATGTATGTTACTGTATAACTAATACGGTCGTTAATATAATAATAATAATAATTATGTTACACCTATGTAGCACTTTGCTAACAAACAAGGCTTCTAAGTGCTTTGCATTTTACCCCCGTCATTCGGACGGCGGTGACTCTAGAAATTTGCCGACAAGGGGACATATTCGGCGGAAATGTTCGAACCAATGGCCCAACTAAAGCCTCGGTCGGGGTCCCGGAATAAAAAAAAAATCCCTGTAGTGTTCACGAGTAGAGTTTTCTATGGCTTAGTATGGTCCAAATTTGCTTTTAGACCACAATAATAATATGGATTGGCAATCAAAATAAGGTTATTTACATAGGCAAATTACTAATTTTTTTTTATCTGACGATCTCGTCGTGGCGTCGGACGACAGGGTGTCTAAGCCTGTCCGACGGGAGCGCAAATTCCCTCTGCACCCCCACCCCCTCCCCCACACTTGCTGGCGCCACCATTCCATTCGGAGCAAGCACATATTTAATAGATAACTCAGCTTTCTGGGTGTTGCAGTTACAAGGCACTAGTAACTCGTTAAGATTGATATGTAACATGGAAGCATGTAGCCTTCATTATCATGTTACATCAATGTTTCATTGAATCATCATTTACACCTAATAATGTCTGGTTTTCCATTAGCGTTGAAAGAGTCTATAGGTGTAGCAGTATATCAATAGTGAGAATAACAACTTCACGGCATAGTCACAAAGCGTGGCCGCAAATAATCACATAGCCAAGGGCCAGCGAGCTCGCTGTTCCACTCTTGACTTATGATCCTCCCGATAAGACCTGCTTCATAATTCGCTGGACTATCAGAATTTACATTAACTGAGCAATTTAAAACTGTTTATCATGATTGTTAAATATCATATTTTTATTGATGCATTTATGTTTGATGGTATATATTACTAGTTTTTATGACAATTTTGGGAATCTTTGGCTCATATTATCAATGCGCCGTAAAAACTTTTAGTACGTTCTTATAAAATTAGTATCGATTACTGCACAGCTATTACCAATAAAGAAAACCTATACCTATAATCGTCTATATGACAGAATTATTACAACGCATGAGTGTAAGACGATGGAAACTCGTGGCTTGGATTTGCTCTTGCGAATGTTGATAGGCCTACGTCAATTTAACAGATAGCATTGCGCAAGCAGTTGGTTAAAGGAACAAAATTTTGACCTAAAACTATATTAATAATCTGATAGCCGCACCTTTAAGTCATGTACTCAGTCGACGCGATTCCATGGAAAGCCCAACGCCACGGCACGCGCGCAATGATCCGCTTAGACTGCCACCGACAATGAGCCGTGTCGCGTGTCGTAGAGCTCACAGGGAGCGGAGTTGAATCGGCCGACTGTCCTACGACCGTCGTATGACACAATTTGTGCTCGTATTCGACTGGTTCGTTTCGTTGACAAAGATTTTTCGTTATGTATTATTTTCGGCTGAGGCCGTAAAATAAACTTCGCTGACAACGAAAATTAACGAGTCCGTTAATTTCAATAAGTTATCCAGGTAACCAAAAAAAATTGGTCAGTTTAGCAACAGCATTTGCGTTAATATTAAGATTTAGATCAAACTTCCGAAAATAATAATTGTAATATTTACCCTCATGAAGTCAAAAAATAATTGTAGGCTAACAGAATTAAAAACTGCATAAAAATATTTTTTACAAAAAATCCCATATACTGCGACAATCCGAAGTACTGTTATAACCTTAATTACGATAGCACGTATTGCAGTATGTAGCCATTTTATTTTGTCAAGTATTTACCAGTTTTCTATTCGTCTGGTCGTCTTCGTTAATTTAAAGTAGGATTTTACCACTGCGCAGACAGATGTAGTTTAACGAAGAACGATCATCTGAATACGGCCATTGCAGCTCTACTGTGGGCCACAAAAACGGCATAAGTTACATAAACACGTGCGCGCCTGTGGTAAACGCGGTGCACGTGGTACAATCGCTTATTCGCTTGGCACTCTTCTGATTGGTCACTCTCTAAATGCAAAAGATTTAAAAATGAGTGAAAGCGTGCATACAGGGACCAGTCCTGATAAACTGAAATAGAAAGAATGAAATTTCACTCTATTCAGAGTTAATTTTAGTAATTTTTAACTATTTTTTAAGAATAATATCCACTCATTTAAGAGTGAGTTTCCACTCGAGAAAGAGTGAAATTTGAGTGTTCCCTGTAGGCACCCTTTTCGAGTGAAAATTTACTTTTTTACAATAAGAGAGCAGTTGTTAAATTTGATTGACACTTTAGGTAGGTCCATTTCAGATGCACTTTAGCAAAAATGATTAATCTTTATTCATGATATTAATCACTAAGTATATCGTTTCCAAATTCCTCCATTACCAAGTAATGTACTGTACCCTGCTCGCCGCATCGACTATACCTCCGTAACCAGATTAGTTGAGATTTTTAAAGCTGGTCACTCGCAGCGAACGACGGTCGTCGGCCGACGGTATTCTACGAAGAACGCAACGCCACGTCGCGCGCGCAACGGATCGTTTTTAATGTAGATCCGGTCAGACTGCCACCGAAAATCAGCAGAGAGCGTCACGCGTCGTCTAGCGGAGTTGGTTTCGTCG